TAGAAGTGAATATATAAATGTATACATAAATATAGTCTAAAATCTGTATCTCTGTCTGTTTTTTTAGCAGTCTCAGAGGTCGTCTCACACACTGCAGTCTCCTCAGGGAGCACTGCCTGCATCTTTGTATAATACCATGATGATCTCTCAGCCTGCGCAGGCCAACGTTGTGCAGATCTCCACAAGCCTAGCCCAGAACAGCAGCACGAGCGGAGCCGCGGTTGCCACCTTCTCACAAGACCGTCAGATACGGTACATGAAACACTATTACAAACACGCACTGAAACTTTGCCTCATTATAAACATGAAGTGCACGTACCCAGTTAAATAAGCACATTAGAATACTAAACTAGCTTAAAAGAATCATTAATCTCATGTCTCCTCCATTTCCTTTTTATAAATATAGCTTATTTGCAGGCTATAACAACCTATTGGTTATTTACTAATGAACAATAAAACATTCTTTGAAAATGCCTGGGGACTCCTGACCATGTCATGGTACAACTGATCCCAACAGAAACTCATAACAAAGCTAACTAATAACCTGTTGTCCTGCCTCCCACAGGTTCCCTGCTACCCCACAGCTCCTCACTAAGCTAGTAACCGGCCCAATGGCGTGTGGTGCAGTTATGGTGCCTACCACCATGTTCATGGGGCAGGTAGTGACTGCGTTTGCCCCGCAGCAGGGCCAGGCTCAAACAATCAGCATCGCCCAGCAGCCATCTGCGCATATGCAGGAGCAGCAGGCTCAGACGCAGTCACAGACAGCTACAGGAACCGCCCAACAGCAAGGACAGGCCCAGGCTCAGCTTGCCCAGCAGCAAACGCAGTTCCTACAGGTAACCCTCCCACACAGAGAATTGGGACCCTTTTAGCATTCAGATGACTACTTGACTGTAGCGTATTTTTGGTCAACTTATTGATTAAAGAGAGTTCCGTGGAAAATTAAAACTTTAATCACTTACTCATGTCATGAAAAGTGAAACCTGGAAGAATTTGCTGGTAGTTCTTTTACAGACAGTTATGATAAATAAGGACTAAAGCTTCAAGCTTCAAAAGAACGTTTAGACCAGCAGTCATTCATTTAGGGTGTACTCACACTATGCGTTTTGAACTGTGCCTGAGGGCGTTTGTCCCTCAAAGCCTGGTTCGTTTGACTAGTGGGAGCGCTTCGTGCCGCACTCGGCCCGGTTGGAGCGCTAACCGCGCCGGAGCACGGAAAAGATACTATTTTGTGTGCGCTACTGTCATCATTATGACCGCAAACATATACTATTACTACTACTACACTACACTTTTCAGTTAATTTAATTCAATCAAGTATATTTACGTTTATGATGGGTCTGGTTCTCACCTTATTGATGAACTGGAATTGTAGTCTGTGATTTAAAGCTGCAAATTCTGTCATGGGTTTAAGTGCAAGTGTGAGTGCAGGCCAGCGGGGGACTGGGGAGGGGGGATAATCGCGCTCAGGCTCGGTTCAAGGCAAACGTGCCTAGTGTGAGTACACCCTTAGTTTCTACTTTCTATGATCCAATTCCAGATCAATTCCAGGATCAGTTCCAGACTGACAAACAAATCAATTCCAGATGGACAAAATCAAGTCCTGTCCTACATTTTTTTTTTCTCGTTTGATAGACGTTTCATGTGTATGTGTGTCACAATAGTGAGGGAAAACACTGTCACAATTTTATTTTCATACTGACATTTTTGATGAAAATGCAGAGCTAGGGTGGCTGTGAAGATTTGCTATGAATAATGACCTAAATCCCTTCCTCACACAACCCTATCATACGACTCTAGAAGACTTTGAATACAGCACAGAAGTTCTATGGACTACTTTTATAGTGCTTCTGCATCTTGGTTTGAAGCTTAAGAGCTGAATGAAAGAAGTCTGCCAATTTCTTCCAAAAATGTCTAAAAAGTGATTTAAATTGTGACAGCTATTCCTTTATTATAAAAAGCATGTTTTTCTAATCTGTGTTGCTGAAAAAGACTTCCTGCCCTTAAGTTACTAAAATAGAATAGAATAGATCTGCATGTTTTTAAAGGACATGCAGACACGCACGTTTACAATGTATAAATATATATTTTTAATTCATTTTAAATTATAAATGGATTCAAATCATGTGATAGTTTTCTCAAAATGATAAAAAGTTAGTAAAATATAATAAATAAATGCTCTCTCTCTCTCTCTCTCTCTCTCTCTCTCTCTCTCTATATATATATATATATATATACAATACTGCTCAAACGTTTGGGATCAGTAAGACTTGTAATGTTTTTTAAAGAAGTCTCTTATGGTCATCAAAGCTGCATTTATTTGATTAAAAATACAGAAAAAAAACAGTAATCTTGCCAAATGTTATTTCTCAAAATGTAGAAGGATTTCTGAAGGATCATGTGACACTTTATACTGGAGTAATGGCTGATGGAAATCCAGCTTTGCTTCACAGAAATAAATGATATTTTAAAGTATATTGAAACAGAAACCATTATTTTATATTGTAATAAAATTTAGCAAGGTTACAGTTTTTTTCTGTATTTTTGATCAAATAAATTCAGCCTTGATGAGCATAAGAGACTTCTTTAAAAAACATTACAAGTCTTACTGATCCCAAACTTTTGAGTGGTAGTGTATATATATATATATATATATATATATTTATTCATATTTTGCATTTCGTTCTGCAGGCCCCTCGGCTTTTACATGGCAACCAATCTGCCCAGCTCATCCTTCAAGCATTTCCCCTGCAGCAGCAGCAAGGCACCTTTGCAGCCGCAACTCAACAACAGCAGCAGCAACTGCAACAGCAGCAGCAACAACTGCAGCAGCAGCATCAACAGCAACAACAACAGCTGCAACAGCAACATCAACAACAGCAGCAGCAGCTGCAGCAGCAACAGCAGCAACAACAGCAGCAGCTGCAGCAACAACTGGCAGCTCATCGCTCAGACAGCATGGACCGGTCCAACGCGCCACCTAAGTAGCTGACCGCACGTCAGAGACGCAACCAAATCACCACTGAGCAGTCCTGCAGGCTGAGGGGCTTCTGAGGGGGATGTTTGGAGCTAAAAAAAATTGCAGTATTTGTACTGTACCCTCTCAGATACGTTTCCACTGCTTATAGGTGAAGGGCCAGACCTAAACGGGTGTCTTTTTTTTTAACGATCAACAGCTGCTTGCACTGAATTCTGGGAGAGGTCCAACCACGAATGCCGAGCTTCTGCGGGCTGGCAAGGAATCAGCGGCATCTGGTTTTCCGCAAATTGTCTCCTCCACAATAACCGCTTCCCCTTTGTCTCGTATGCCCAGTGTGTGCCGTCATCCCTCTTTCACAGGTTTAATTTATGCAGAACGAGCCGCAGCGGAGGCTTCAAGACCTGAAGAAATCCTGCAGGACAAACGGCGCCTCTCTCTTTCTCTCGGGCCTCTCTTTCTCTTCCCTTCTCATTTTACTTGTTGCAAGTAATTATGGGTCAGAAAATATTTTTAGGAATGCCACGTGGATTCAACTTTTATTGTACAGTTCACCTGTAAAATAATGTGTAAATATATGGACAAAAGGAAAGAGAAACTAATATTTTATATGATGCATGAGACGAAAAGCGTAGTCTGTTATTTGTAGCTTTGAATATACTTTTTTTTCTAGTATTCTGAGGAAAAAAGCTAAACTTAATACACATAATGGTTGATCTCTTCACAGACATCCTTTTTCCAGTGGGATGGGGGGTGAGTGTGTGTATGTGCTTGCGCACATGTGTTCGTATGTATGTGTGTCTGCCAAGCAGGCAATGCTGGATCCACAGATTGTGTCACAGTTGGTTTAAAACAGCCTTCGTGTTTTAGTAAAACTGTTAAAGGAACAGGCAATCTTTAGATGTTTTGCATCGTGTTATACACCTTAGTAATTGAAAATATATAGATATGAATATTTCAGAGAGATGTTTTACATTTGTAAATAGTTTAAAGAGAAGGCTTCAGATTTAGTATATCATGTGGTTAGGCAAAAAAAGAAACGGTGCTTTGACTGTTTAGCGCAGAATCATTACAGCTGGCAGCGGCCATTCGCTATTAAGTACCATTGATCTAAACGCACTCTGCTGAACTGGAACTGATGCTTGAAACAGCAGGGTTATGATGAGGAAAAATATAATCGCATAGTGTGTATGATCCTAAATGATACAGGTAAATTAGCATAAGGCTAAGCCATAGCTTCTTCTAGTTTTACAATGGTTTACATGGTTTACACTGTTAAACAGTGTTTTAGGTATGATTTGCTAAATAGGTTTGAATAACCAGAAATATAATTTTACACAACCAAACCTGTTTATCATCTAGAGATAGTAAATTATCACATATTTGCACAGCTTTAATGCAGGAATACTTTCACTTGCCTTTCTTGGGTCTCCGCTCGTTGACAAATGATGACATTTCAATGATAGTGACTTGACTTTGCAAACTACTTCCACTCAGCTCTGGAAAAGCAGGAATGTATCGGTTCACTAGCAACTTCTAGCTCTTTGCCCAAAGCACAGAAAACAATCCTAATGTTGACAATCTGATTCTGTTTATTGGTCCCTGTAGTATTACAATTCAGATATGCCAGATTGTAGTTAATTAGTTGATTAATATGCTTGACAAGACAAGTTTCCCCGAAGTTGCTCTGAGACGTTGTTTGTAGTTAGCCATCATGAATGTTCTAAAAAGAAATAATTGTTTTCCTCTAGTCAAATGGGTCACACCATTAGTTTAATTTATTTATATATATATATATATATATATATATATATGAATGATGGATGGAACCTTTTTATCCTTATGAAGAAAACAAACACTTTTTTTCTTTTTTTTAAATAAAAGCTCAGTTTTATCAACAGGTAGCACTTATGGAGGACAGATTTAGTATTTTATGTATTGGTCTTGTGAGTCATTATTATTAATTGTTTTAATTATTATTCTAATTATCAATGCACTAATGGGCAATATTGAGTGAGTGAGTGAGTGAGTTACGTGTAGCCACGTATGGTGTCCCATACTAGGAATTTGTGCTCCGCATTTAACCCATCCAAGTGCACACGCACGGCAGTGAGTAGTGAACACAGCCATTTTTGCTGTAACGCCCGGGGACCAGCTGGGGGTTCAGTGCCTTGCTCAAGGCTGCTCACCTCAGTCGTGGTATTGAAGGGGGAAGAGAGCATTGGTCATTCACTCCCCCCAACTACAATCCCTGCCAGTACCGAGACTCGAACCCGCAACCTTTGGGTTACAAGTCCGACTCTATAAACTTTAGGCCACGACTGCCATATTGCCTCTTCAGGTTAGTACAAGGAGACAGGTGTAGATAATTCCAATATTTTCCATATCAGACCTCACTATATATGAAAGTGCCCGGCTGAATGTTCGGTTTGTGCGGGATGTTAAAGCCAACCACCCAGAGTGCTGGTCCAATCACAGTTCATGTTGCAGTATCCACACAATAGCAGAATAACTCAAGTGATCTATGATAATGCAGTATGTAATCTAACTCACCCTGTTGTTCTTTTACTCTTCGAGTCATTCCTATTGAATATGATGGTCATTAATGTGTTGGTTTTTGTGGTCATGTAAAAGTAATGGATGGCTGTACATTTCAGTACCATAGAAATGTTATGATGGCACGGCTAGAATGAGCAATGCGAGATTATTGATTGAATGTAAAACTGTCACTTAGCTTTATAGTAACATTTAAAGACTATTTTAAAGAGGAATATATAGAAACATTAGATGTTCTTATTTTTCTACAGCAAGATCAGAACAGAGAATTTATGCAGATAGACTGTAGTTGATGTGTAAAACAACTGTTATACACCTTTTGCTAGGAAAGGGAACCGAAAATTAAGCTTACTCCATATTGTAACCTCAAATGAAGGATTTAAACGAACTGTGACACACTGGAGGACCAGTTGAACTTTCTCCCCCACAATGCAGTTGGATTCAGGAAGTGGTTATTTTAAGGTTTTTGCCTGAGTACGAGAGGTCATGCATGTTTGCTGCAGACTCCTGCTTATGTTTTGGGGTACTTGAAGGTAATACATGTTTTTTAAAAAGTCTTGCTTAAAAAGTATAGGACACATAAAAATTCAGGCTGGGTCGAAAATGACCTTCTGATACATAGTGCATCCTCTCGCACAGGCATCAGATGTCATTTGTGATGATGTTTTAGAGTTCAAGGGGTTTGTTTTCTGCTCTGATTTGTATTATGTCAGCCCTAAGGTAACAAATACTACAGCTTCCTCAGGTTGGTTCAGAATAATAACAAATCCACATCAGTCTTGCCCCTCCTTTCTCTTCTTTACTTGATCTTGTGATAGTGACCTCTTCAATAACACACATTCTTCTGCATTTACCATAAAGAGTCACAAAAAAAAAACAGGATGATACAAAATGGTTGCCCTTTATGTACCTCTGAATTGTCTGTTGTGCTTGATGCAACTCAGCTGGCATTTAGCAATTAACCCAAAGAGCTCTGAGGAAAGATGGGAGAGCGTGGCAAAATCCTGTTGAATTTGTTTTTGAAATATTAAATGCGCCCAGTGGAAAAGGTGGTGGTGAACCATGTTAAATGTTTTGTAGTTCTGATGTATGCACTAGAAGTTCTGAATGTCTATCAGTGTTCTCTTGCTATCATTTAATCGTTGTACGTGTGATGTTCTTTGCAGAGCACTTGTGTTTGGCTCATGAAATTTATCTGGTCAGTACACGTTAATGTGGAGGAAAAATAGAAAACTACTTAAATATATACCTATAAATAGGTTTACACTCTCACCATTTGTTAGGTTTCTTTACATTTTAACGCTCCATCAGGGGTAACCAGCGCATAGCTCTGTTTTCCTGAACTCAGTTAAAAAATTCAAAAATAAATCTGTAATATCAAAAAACAGTGTGCTGTATTGGGTTCATTTTGTGAGCCAGGCCATTCTTACATTTAACAATGAAATAATGGAACCTTTTTAAACAAACCGTGCCGTTTACTCCCCTTATTCAATTTTGAAAATAAAATTATTTAAATATATATATATATATATATATATATACATATACATTGTATTGACTGTTTTTATTCCTATATTTTTGGGTGTGATTGTTTTCCTCTAAATAAGTTTCATAAATTAGATTTGTGCTTTGGTTGATTTTTCCAGTGGGTCAATTAATCATTCACTCAACCGATTCATTCAAGTAAAGATTCAAATCAGGAATAACTACACCACTGTTGCTAGGAGACGATCACCAAATCCGAACTTTGGAAAACAGACAAACATCCTGTTAAAAATGTAACTCATGCTGCGTTCTCGCCATGTCGTAATAGACTATGCACAATCACTTCCACGTTTTGCCTCAGCAGCCAGCTCAGTTACATCTGGTGCAGTGCCAGAAGCCTTGACCCATCTGTCTGCTTGTTTGTCCATAGCGAACATAGACTTCTTTGTAAATACACAACAATGTATGGGGCGTAGGGGGTCTGTTTAGAGGTAGTACCTTTACTGTCCGGCAGCTGCACCCTACCTGGTAGGGTGGACGGGCAACACTGCTCCTCATCCATCTCCTAAATCTATCACATGCTAGCTCCACGTGCCACACCCTGGCAAACAGCCTCAGCTGGCGGGCTAAACCACGTGAGGGAGTGATGTTCACACTGCACCACTAGGCGGATGAGCTGCTTCTGGCTTCTTCTGCTTCTCCTCAGAAGAGTCAAAGGACGAATTTTATGAAGAGCTTGAGACCACCATCAAAGAGATCCCTACCACAGAACACCTGTTCCTACTTGGGGACTTCAACACCCGGATCGGAGACAACCACAACTCCTGGCCCCGTTGTATCGGCCATTTTGGAATTGGCAAGCTTAACGAAAATGGACAGAGACTGTTAGAACTTTGTTCGTACCATGACCTATGCATCTCAAACACGATCATCTCAACCAAACCCTGCCATCGAGTGTCCTGGCGACACCCCAGATTCTGTCACAGGCACCAGCTGGATCTTGTCATTACCAGAAGACCCCTGCTGAACTGCGTACTTACTACCCGCAGCTACCACAGCGCCGACTGTGACACTGACCACTCACTGGTTGGGAGCAAGATACGCCTTCACCCCAAGTGGATCCACAACTCCAAGCAGAAAGGATGGCCACGTATTAACACAGCCCTGACATCAGTCCCAGAAGTTTGCACACGCTTTGCCAGAGCCATTGAAGTGGCCCTCAAGGACTGCCCAGACAACAGCGCTGAAGAGAGATGGAGCCACATCCGTGACTACAACTCGGCCATGGCAACCTTCGGTAAGAGGGAGAAGAAAAACCCAGACTGGTTTGAAGCAAGAATTCTCCGCAGACTGTGGGAACATCCGCGCCATGAATGAGGGCACGAAGAAAGCATTTGGTCCAAGCACCACAAGATTGCTTCCCTGAAGTCCGCTACAGGCGACGTCATCACGGACCGCGGTAAGCAGATGGAGAGATGGGCAGAGCACTACCAGCAGCTATACTCGAGGGAGAACGTTGTCACTGACACTGCAGTGGAGAGCACCACCCCCTTGCCCGAGATGGAGGAACTCCAGGCAGCGACGGCATTCCCCCAGAGGTCATCAAGGCTGGCAAGAAGAGTGTCCTCCTCGACTACCTTCATGAACTCTTACTTCAGTGTTGGGAGGAGGGAACAGTTCCTCAGGACATGCGAGACGTCAACATCATCACGCTTTACAAGAACAAAGGAGACCGTAGTGACTGTAACAACTACCGTGGCATCTCCTTGTTGAGCATGGTGGGGAAGGTCTTCGCCCGCGTGGTGCTGAACAGACTCCGAGTGCTGGCTGAACGCGTTTACCCAGAGGCGCAGTGTGGCTTCAGATCCCAGAGATCAACGATCGGCATGATCTTTTCACGGAGACAGCTACAGGAGAAGTGCCGGGAGCAGAGACAGCCACTCTACATCGCCTTTATTGACCTGACCAAGGCCTTCGACTTGGTCAGCAGGAAAGGCCTCTTCACCCTACTGCACAGGATTGGATGTCCCCCCAAGCTTCTGAAGATGACCACGTCCTTTTACGATGAAATGAAAGGTACCGTCCAGTACGATGGCTTATCTTCAGAACCTTTCCTGATCCGAAGCGGCGTGAAGCAAGGTTGTGTCCTCGCCCCGACACTCTTCGGTGGCATCTTCTCCCTGCTGCTGCGCCACGCCTTCAGTCAGTCAGAAGATGGTGTCTTCATTCGCACTAGGAGGGATGGCAACCTTTTCAACCTTGCACGTCTGCACGCAAAGACCAAGGTGTGCAGGGTCATGATTAGGAAAATGCTGTTTGCTGATGCCGCCGCCCTGACTGCCCATACCGAGGAAGAACTACAGCGTCTCATCAGCAGCTTTGTTCACACTTCTGATGAGTTTGGGCTGACCATCAGCCTAAAGAAAACAAATGTCATGGGCCAGGATGTCAGCAGCACTCCCCGCATCTCCATCGGCGATCACGCCCTCGAGGTAGTGGAGGACTTTACATATCTTGGCTCCACCATCTCCAGCAACCTCTCTTTGGACAACGAGCTGAACACCAGAATTGGCAAGGCATCAATAGCGATGGCCCGCCTGACCAAGGGAGTGTGGAACAATAGCATGCTCACCACCAACACCAAGATGAAAGTGTACCAGGCCAATGTCCTCAGCACTCTTCTCTACGGCAGCGAGACGTGGAATATGTACACCTGGCAAGAATGCAGACTTAACTCTTTCCATCTGCGCTGCCTGAGGAGGATCCTGGGCATCACCTGGCAGGACTGTGTCCCAAACACTGAAGTGCTGGCCCAGGCAAAAACATTCAGCATGCACGCACTCCTTTCACAAAGACGCCTATGCTGGCTCGGCCATGTCTGCCGAATGCAGGATGGCCGGATTCCTAAGGACATCATGTATGGCGAGCTCGACCAACAGGCAGACCAGTGCTCCGGTACAAAGATGTCTGCAAGCGTGACCTGAAAGCCGGAAGCCTGAATCCTGCAGACTTGGAAGCTGCTACCGCAGACCATGTCGGCTAGCGGCTCGCCGTAAGGACCAGCACAAAGCTGAGCAAGGGAAAGAGAGAAGACCAGTGGGAGGAGAAAAGGCAGCGCAGATGGCAGAGAGCAGAGTCAGTGCCCACAGAAGCAGTCTCAGGCTTCACCTGTAGTAACTGCAACAGACTCTGCCGCTCTCGTATTGGACTGTTTAGCCACAGCAGGCACTGCAATTCAGACTGACCCGGGCGCAGATACTCCATTGTCTCTGGAGACAGAAGGATGCCGATTGATTGATGTACAGGAAATCTTTAACACTTTGTTAAAGTTACTTATACATGTTACTATATTTATGTTTACCAAAGTGTAGGTATCAAAGTCATTCAAATTTACATGTTTGCATTACCACAGTTCAGGTAACACTGTATCAAAGTTTATATTCAAGTTCACAATACGACACTGCAGATAATAACACTATAGTATCGAAGTTATTTATATTTACGTTTACATAATCTACATTTGTAAAATGCTAATTTATCCATTCACAATTTCTATACTAAATATTATTTTAATTAATATATTGTGCTGTTCTATAGTGTTGTGAAGAGTGCAAGTAGTGCTTAAGTGCTTAACACGTAAGTCCATGTTCTAGTGTTTGCTCTTCAATCCTTTGCTTGTATTAAGAGCGTTGTGCTGAAAAGTAGTAGATATTCTACTGGAATAAGGTGGGTAATAGCCACTGATCTCTATAATATTCTCTATTATAGATCAGTGGTAATAGCCCCTTTTGCACAATGGGACACAACAATGTTTGGCGAAACTTCTGTCTTCGACAGTTAATTAAACTTTCAGAAAGCAATAACTAGAATGAGATGAGAAAATTCCCAGTTCACAAATTGAAATTACGAGTTCTACGGGGAGGTGAATGCTTTTTACAAATTGGAATCTCGTAATCGCGGTAATTATGATATGGCGTAATCGCACCTTAACTTCTTGTTTATTGAACTGTTGTATAAAAGCAACATAAAAATAATGTATGGACCAGAGAAAAATCCCTGAATTAACAATAATATAGATTTACAGTGGCCCCAAAAAGTAGAATGTCTTGGCCTCATTAAAAATGTATACATGTATCTATGACAAGTGCTATTTATTTAAATATAGCACAAGCACACATTTTCATCAAAATATTTAACATGTTTCTTAGGTTTCAAAATATGAAGCTATAGGAATTTTATTCAAAATGAAGACAAAACTTGACACGCTAGTTGGTTAAACATAATTGGCAACAAAAAAAATGGCTAAAAGAAAGTGATGTTAGTTCTGTGGAAAGCTGAAGTGTCATTTGTTTGCAGATGCCAGTTGGTTTGATCTATTGCATTTAATGCAGTGCGTGACTCATGGCCTCAAAACGTTTTTGGATATTTCTGTTAACGTCTTTGAAAACTGTGCTTCATAACGGTGTAGTTATTACATCTGATCCTTGATTTAATATTGTTTCAGCATTGTGAAAAAATAACCACATCTGAGACTGACCTTTTTATTCAATATTTACAGGAATAATATTTTAGCAGTTTTCTATATTAGTTTAGTCAGCACAATCTCCAAAGTTAACCCCTGTCAAATATTGAGTCACCCTGAAAATGTCACCCTGAAAAAAAAAACACGCACACAAGCACCAAATCTCCTCAATAGAACCAATTCTTCAACCATGACAAAATATCAATATCTCTGCTCCATAATAGAATAAATAAAAACCATTCAGAAGAAAAGAACTAGACAATGAGAGAGCAAATGTATGCCGTGTGCTTCTTTTAGGGGAGCTTGTGAAAGCATGACTATCCTTAACAGTTTATGACCAGTGACACAGAAGCACAAATGCATTTATGAGTGCACAATGATGACCAATAAATACCGTGACTGGGTCTAAAGGCCACATGTGATGATACAATCAGATCTGACATTATTTCATACTACATCTCAAGCCTTTGGTAATATGGTATGAATAAAGGACAAACCATCAACAGGCAGTTTAGACACCAGGCAGTTCCTATAATTCAGCATTCAATTCAGTACTATAGTTTGCTATTGATGAGGGAATTGTGACCGTTATATTGCTAAGGCTCTTACCCACTAAATACTCCTGAGATGCGAGTAGATGTACCGCTGTGCAGTGGGTAGATGGTCATAGGGGAAGAGTGACAGTGCTTCATCTGGTTTTAGTTTTAGAGCTGTTATAGTCAAGCAAGCTTGAACTTGAATAAAGTAGAACATAGGTGGAGGGTGAACCAACTCCAGGGTAAGGCTAAAAGCAGCCAAATGCAAGAACCAGACATGGGCGTCATGTAGGCTAAAAAAATGTTTAATGGGACTGAATTTGTATTTAACGTGATTACAATTTAATAAAAACGTTAGAAATTGATAATTATATAACGTTTCCTTTCCACTGTTATTCAAAAAGTAAATAAATAATATATAGAAAGTGACATTAGCCTATCACTAACATCGATCTATCGTGAGTTTAAGCACTCAAAAAAACAAAACCATCGTTATAATCACTGAAGCTGTATACACTGTTAAATGAATCTCTTACTTACTTACATTGTACATACATCTGCGCTTTGTTATTTATGATGAGAGAATTCAGTCGAGAAGGTATAGCTGCAGCCTGAAAATCTCCAAATGGGGGCGGGATCTCCAAAACGGGGTGGGAGCTCCAAAATAGGGCGTGGCTTCCTCCCATTGACAGGCACATGACACACATGAGCAATTTTCCCCCCCAATCCACTTCATTGCAAACTCCGCCCCACAGCTGATTCTAAAGATTTTATTGGTTGTGTCAATTAAAGTGTTGATTTCCTACACTATGCTACAAAAGATGCTAACCCCTAAACCTACCCCACACCTGACCCTAACCTTAACCAGTGAAATTGACTGCATGGTGGGATTGGCATGGTAAAGAAAGTTGCAGTTCAGAAGATAAACAGTTAATAAGATTATGCGATATGAGATTGTTCCGTAACTCCCCAACTGGACAATGGCACCTTTTTTAGTTACAAGTGTTTGCGTGAGGAGACCCCACCCCATTTTGGAAGTTCTGCCCACTTTTGGAGTTCACGCCCCATTTTGGAGATCTCTGGTCTGCAGTTATACCTACTTGAAAGAGTCCGGAATTCAGTCAGCGAACGCGCACGCACTCAACAAAACTGATGAGTTTGAACGATAACTCATCTGAACATGTCTGATTGGCCATTGCATTCCTAAGCTCAACAGATGTGTGTGTGATTGGTTAAAATGCGCAACACCGTAAAAACGCCCCTAAAATGAAATACGGTGCAACATGAGCAGATCTTAATTTAATGCCGCAATCGACACGGTCTATTCCTATTCATTTTGTTAGAAACAGACGTAATAGATTTAATTTGTTTGTGCAGGGGCATTTTTGTCCAATTTAGTCCCCCTATGGAACCAGGCCAGTATTTACCCATAGCACACTGCTCAAACAGGGGTAAAACAAAAAGGAAACAAGATTCATGATTTGTTATTTAAAATGTTACTATATGCCAGGACAAACATCTGGCAAGTTCAAGTAAATTGTTAGGCAGCATACAGTCAGGGGAAATATAATGATCATCTAAAAATAGAACAGTGTCTGGTTGAAAGAAAAGAAAGACAAAAACAGGGAGGGATTAAGCAAAAAAAAAAAAACTGAAATGCTCATTAAGACATGAGCAGTAAATGTTTTTTCTTTCATTCACTCAGTCATACTTGCACAAAAGAGATTCACTCAAACATAAACAAGCCATCTGCAGTCTTTGTGCAGTCTCTCTCTGTTCCACTTGGTCTGGGTTGCATATATACAAAATGAAACCAAGAGTCAATTCTTCCATCAGAATCCAGAATCGGGCTTGATAAAGAGGGCGGAGAATGCAAAGGCAAGGAAAACGATTCCACCAATGATTGTAACTGTAGAGAAAGCAACAGGAAATATCATCAAATAAATCTGGATATAGGTCAGTGCTTATGCAAACCAACAGAACATAATGTACTGCACTAAATGACTCACCGGTTCTAACGGAGATTTTCTGAGCCACCATCCTTCCACCGATAACAGCCAGGCCTGTGCACAGACAGTGTCCCAATGTTCCTCCAACTGCTACTCCAAATGGATCCTGCAGCACAAACCCGGCCAGTTATTCACAGTTAACAGCACTCAAGTCATTTGCTAGCTGCTAATAGTGAGCAATATAGAGTGCTGGATTATTTTAAGTTAATTACTTATAACGTAGAATAAAAGTCTAAAGTAATTAAGAATAAAATGTATTTAAAATCATAAATAAAAATATAGATCTTATCCAGGTTAACAGTTTTTTTTTTATATAATACAATATATATTTTTATCTTGGGCATTAAGAATACTTAAAATGGTAAAACGTGTATTTTACAAGTATTTTAGTAGAAGGTTTGTTTAAAATTAATTATATATAAAAATATATCTGAACCATTTTTTTTTTTTAAATAATGAGAAATACAGTTTCATGTGTAAAAAGTGACGAAGTACTTTTAGTAAAAGTTAATTATTTATTAAATATATTGCAGAATAAACGTCTAAAGTAAGAATAAAATTGATTTAAAATGATAAATTAAAACATCTCATCCAGGTTAGCAATTTTTTTATATAATGCAAAATACAGTTTTATGGGCATTGAGAATATTTAAAATGGTAAAAAGTTATAAAGTATTTTTAGTGAAATAATTTTCTTTTTAATCAAATAAAAGGTCTAATTTGGAATCCTGTGTACATACCTCTCTTGCAGCCAGCACAATAGTGGCAAGCTGAGAGCGGTCACCCCACTCAGCGAGGAAGGTGAGGGTGAGTGCCTGAATGAATATAGGTGAGATCACGCTGTGCCACTTCCTCTGAGGTAATATGGTCGCCGCCGTCCCTGCTTCCATGTCGGGTGCGCCGCTGGCTAGCTTATAGCGCTGAAGCTGCGAGAGGAGAGGAAATCAACCAATCAAAGGTCAGATAAAATGCTTCAATTATGCAGTGGATGTTATTTAGCCACACATGAGAACAAACACACTCGAGTTAGAAAGCTTTTACCTCCTCATCCTTTTTTTTTATCTCAGCCTGGACCTCCTCCAGCTCCTCTTGCCCTTCATCAGGACTCATCCTCAGTCCCTCCCTCAGCATCCTCACACCAAATATGGCAAACAGCGCTGTCGATATGTAGTAGGTGTAAATCCGTGGGATAATGGTGGTGGCATAACCAAACAGGACTAATGAGAAGACAGACAGAAAAATAGGTCATTCGTGCATTCAAAGGATTTTATAAGTAACACATGGTAGATAAACACTCGGTGGCCTACGCACTGAATTATAAACTAAAATGTAACCCTTATAATTATATAAGACAGTGGTAAAAATTCGTGCATTCAAAGGATTTTATAAGTAACACATGGTAGATAAACACTCGGTGGCCTAAGCACTGAATTATAAACTAAAATGTAACCCTTATAATTATATAAGACAGTGGTAAAGAGACAAAAAGGCCTGTCATTAGAAGTCTTTTAGACCATGATATTGTGACCATGATGACTTTGTTTTGGACGTATGCAAATATACTATAATATTTGCATGATGAATGATATCCTGTAAACATTTCACAAGACTTTCATTGGCATTGTATGTATTTCTAAGGTAGACGAGAATAGGAATAGGAACCCAGAGATTAAAAAAAAAAAAGAGGTGAAGACAGAAAAAAAACACACTCAAAGGCAACAAACAAGATCAAATCAAATTTAGGACATGTATAAGTTGCAGGGGGCTGGGGTAGATTGACAATGAATTAAAATTAAACCAAAAATTCAAATGATTGCAAATTTGACAAATTAAGCTTTCACTCAGTAGGGACTAGCTAGTTTGTTTTTTAGACCAAACATTGTTTTGTAATTACTGATAAATCCAATAGATTGTTCAAATTATTAATTAATATTAATGTATAATTTTAATGGTTAAATTATTATTTATAATTTTAATTGAGGTCAAGACTCACAAGACTTTCATTGGCATTGTATGTATTTCTAAGGTAGACGAGAATAGGAATAGGAACCCAGAGATTAAAAAAAAAAAGAGGTGAAGACAGAAAAAAAAAACACACTCAAAGGCAACAAACAAGATCAAATCAAATTTAGGACATGTATAAGTTGCAGGGGGCTGGGGTAGATTGACAATGAATTAAAATTAAACCAAAAATTCAAATGATTGCAAATTTGACAAATTAAGCTTTCACTCAGTAGGGACTAGCTAGTTTGTTTTTTAGACCAAACATTGTTTTGTAATTACTGATAAATCCAATAGATTGTTCAAATTATTAATTAATATTAATGTATAATTTTAATGGTTAAATTATTATTTATAATTTTAATTGAGGTCAAGACCTCTGAGGTGGGACAGGACAATATCCCTGTTTTAAAGAGGCGGGTCTTCATTTTGTTTAAATCTAGCTACTTTTAATGCTTATTAATTTTATGTCAGATAATAGTTTATACATGGGATTTGAGACTAAAAGTCATGTGACACCAAAAGTCTTAGGCACTGGTGAAAAGTAGAAGATGAGATGTGAGGTGAAGCATATCAACCTCTGAGCATGATTTAAAAAGTAAAGGTGCTTTTGAACAACCTACCTGACAGACACGTCATGAGTCCCAGAGCCAACATGGCGCCCACCAAAACAGTGAGGCGATTGTAGCGCATAGCCATGATGGCTGCGATGAAGAATGTCTTGTCTCCCAGTTCAGAGACAATGATGACTGAGAGGGCTGCCACAAAGGCATGAATAAAGCCCAGGTTTCCCTTACTGGGTTCATCGACTCTCACTGCCGGGCCGGGTGCGTGACCGGCGGTTGCCTTCTGCAGCTGGACAGAAGTTATGATTCAGATATTACATCAATTAATAGAAAAGGCAACAAATTTATTCAAAATATGGAGCAATATAAACATTTACAACAATTAGAGATACAATTCTGCATTTTAATATAAGAATTATTGTATTTTATCTATAAAGCAAGGATTAAAGGGGTCACGAACTGCACTTTTTATTATTTTGTACTGTTCTCTGTGGTCCACTTATAAATAAATGTTATCAAGAATTTTACATTAAAAAAACTATTTAGAAGTAATAGGCTATTTTCGGTCCTGTTGTAACCCCCCTCATCAGAACACTCTGTTTGAATAGGCGTGGTGGATTGTAGACTCGGAAGTAAGCGCCAACTGCTATGATTGGCTAACAGTTGTGTATGTTTGACAGCCTACATCCTTCATAGATGGCTGCTGTGATTTAAGTTTAAAACGCATAAATACTCAGTACATATCAAACGATCTGTAAGAACAGACAAAGCAATAGTGACCACGTAATAAAAACAGTTACTCACACTTGTGTGGTGCGACATTACTGTCAGATCCAATACGGTCAATACGGTCTTTTAGTTTCAATCTTTCTGAAATTCCTGCATCGAATTGTGCTTTGATTATGAACGAATCCGCAAACAAAGTTCTGGTCTATTCTGGTCGGTCTGGATCTGCACAGCGTCTTGTTGTCTTCAGAGCCATCTTTATCATTTGATTTCTGCACAGACCTGTTTTTGCCTCTCTCATTATTTACACTACATGTGCGATCGGTGGGCGGAGCTAAACAGGCAGTGATGTAGAAGCAGGCGTTGAAGATCTTCTGCGGAGGCGGGGTTTAGTCACACTGTTACGTCATAGTGGCACATTCCACAACCTGTCGTTTTGGCAGATTAATTTCAATAAGCTGTTTTTAGATAACGAGAAAGTTTGAGTTCTGAAACTTACAGGATTTTTTTTTTTTTTTTTTAAAGTACAATGACCTTTTATACGTCAAAGGATCGAGGGAATTTAGATTTCTCAGTTCATGACCCCTTTAATGTTGGGAAAATATTGGGGTACAAAACTGCACTGTTCAGGAGAGCAGTTCCTGAGATTTTGTCAACTACTGTAGTAGTATGATTGCTTATTCATCCAAACAGCTTGCCTGAAGAAATATATTGTAGAGTTACATATAGAAATGTAAAGAATTGAACAAGAATGTTATGCATGTTCAACTTTCTATCAGTTTTTCAAATGCTTTGAGTAATCCTATAAATTCAGTCCAGCAAGTTAACTTTTCAAACTTATACTATTTTTATTTTATATATGTGTGCTGTGAATGAATGCCATTATGATACTACTTTCATTTAGATCGGAAGTGCTTAACCTTTTTTACTCCAAGCCCCCCTGATCACAAATAAACTGAAAATATGAAAATGTTCAATCAGTTAAATTGATTGTTATTATAACTAAATATAAATCATTTCAAGACGTATTGGGGCCCCCTTGGAATTCTGCTGAGGCCCTGCTTGAGAACCACTGATTTGGACGATCAACTTAACATGTTAAAAACTTAAGAAAACTAGCAACATAATTACAAAAACACTTAATAAAGATCATTGCACCTGGGTTTTTCATTTGATCTGCTCTCAAACCCTCATAATGTGTCTCCACAATGTGTCTCTGACCAATAAAATTTGCCCACCCTTCACATGTTTGTGAAGGGTGGGCAAATTCTTGACATAAAAATATAATACCAAAATATAAAAATGTCGATCAGGGTATATACAGGAATCATGGAGTTAAATTTAATACCTTTAAGACTCTTTCCATACATTTTAAGACCTCATCGCCACTCCCAAGTTTTAACCGGTTACATCTGCGACACTTTAACTTACATTTACTATATATTGATTGTAAGATAGCACAACTAAACAGTCTTACTTTCTGATAACTCATTATCAATGCAACATAATTCAGAAGGGGGGAACGAAGCACAAGATAATTAATTAAGTGACTAACCAATGCAACCCAAGAAACAGGAATTAGACCAATAAACAAAACAACTGACAAAACTTGTTGAGGAAGGAAAATAAAGCTCTCCGAGCTTACGGGGCAATGAGTTCACGCAGTATATTCAAAAGATGTATTTGTAACATCAACTCTTATAACAGTCTGCAAACCATAGCTGTTTTGTGGAACATTTCTCATGACAAACATCTGACTGATCACAGTTTAGCGGTGATTACAGAGTGCTTGATTTGATGCAGACTTGACAGAGCGTCAGTATTGCACCTGACCGTGTCTGAATGATCACTGAAGGTCAAATAATGATCACAACTATTACATCATTTTAATTCTGCATCCAAAGCCCATGCTAGTAAAAAAAACAACAACAGCCCAAAGTAGCACAATTATGTCCCAAATATAAAAATGTCATTTCTATCCCTAAAATACATATTTTACAGTCACTGTTATGCACATTTATCATAAACACAGCTCAAATGCTTCCTACTAGTGTGGCCCAAAACATTTAGCACAGTTTTATTACAGGTAGAATGCGAAATGTTTCAGTACAAGCATTTCAACCAAATGTAATTTATGCAATATTTCAAACCTTTAACCCACTGGGGAAAATCAACCCGTGGCAAGTTTAAAAGCAGCCCAATTTCGTGGAAAAAACAACAACCACCCTGCACCCAACACGAGCTGCAGATGTCAGAGTTGACTGATCACGGGTCAAAAGTAAGGAGAGATAACTGACAAAGATGTTGGAGGCATATATGTATATTTTGTTGTATACTGGTGTGATGATCCATGTCTTAACTTACACCGTTCAACATTCTCCTTGCTGTCTGGTTGTGAATTGTCTGCTGTCTGGTTGTAAACTACGATACAATCATACACTGCTGCAAAAACATGTTGCTGAAATTTCTTCCAATGTAAAATAGTTAAACATTTTCACAAACAAATATAAATGTACAAATTAAGATTATCACAAGGTTTAAGGTTCCGTTTGCGCAGTGAAACCAAAAATCCCAGAGCACCTGGATGATATACACTGATGTTATTCTGTGTCAACTGTTCTTTGACCATGTGTTGCACTGTACCTGGATGATACACGATGATCATTGATACAAATGCATGGTCTATTTTGATGCACAACAAACACTCATGCAACATTATTTATAGTCTAAAGTCATAAAGTTTCATAAACATATATAATCTTAATTAGGCTTTTTTTCTACATAAACTGTTCCCTCCTGGTGGAATGACCTGCCCAACTCAATTCGAGCAGCTGAGTCCTTAGCTATCTTCAAGAAACAGCTAAAAACACATCTCTTCCATCTATATTTGACTCTCTAACACTTGCACTCTCTATTCGTTTTCCAACTGCTTGTGTTCTTTAAAAAAAAGGCCTCTAACACTAGCTTTCTCTATTTTTCTATTCTATTTACTTGTTTTCTTTTTGATGTATGTGTGTTGGTGTGAATGTTTGATATTATGTGAGACAGTGACATTTTGTTTTTAAAAATATGAATTCAATAGGGATTCACACTCAAAATCCAGGAAAATGTTAGTCATGGTGGATGCGATTAATAAGGTAAAGTTTTCTTGAATTTTGAGCATGAATCACTATTGAATCCTTGTTACAAATTAAAAAGATGTATGCACCAAAACAAGACAACATGTCTGTGTGAATTTAACGTCCATGTAGAATCTGCTGTATAAAAATGACATAATAAAGCTAAAAAAAACAAAAAACAATTCTTCACTTGATTCTGGCATTTGATACATGACATTAACATTCAAAAGTTTAGGATTTCTATGAATTCTTTTTTTTTTTTTTAAAGAAATGTATATTTTTGCTCTTCAAGAATGCATCAATTTAATAAAAATGACAGTAAAGACATTTATAATGTAAAAAAAAATTATATTTCAAATAAATGCTGTTCTTCTGAACTTTCCATTCATCAAGGAATCCTGTCGCTGTATAATGGTTTCCACACTTCATTAAGCAGTACAACCATTTTCAACTCTGATAATAATCAGAAATGTTTCTTGTGCAGACAATCAGCATATTAGAATGATCTCTGAAGATCATGAGACACTGAAGAGGAGAAGTTGAGATCTGACATCACAGGGGGGAAAAACCTTCATTTTAAATTGTAAAATTATTCCACAATATTAATGTTTTATAATAATAGTGTCGAGCATCGCCGCAGCGTCCTGTCGTGTAAAGACACCGAGTGAAACAAATACTGGATATTTTGGTTCCACTCACTCAACACCGCTTCATGTTCAGGTAATATGTGCCGCGATAAAACCCACAAAGAAGAAACACTTCTGCATGTCTCTATATATACACAAAATCTCTTCAAAATATGCAGCTATATGTATCAATGAATACGAATGTTTAATTAAAACGAGCTTTCGCTTAATTATTCCTCACTGTTGTCATACAAACGTGGAGAAACAGCTATCACAACGCCACTGATAGCAAAAACATTGCATGGTACCATATGTTTCTAAACTATTTGTTAAAATGTACAGCGGTGTGTATAAGTGTGTATAAGCAGCAGTGATCTGAAGCCGGACTCTGTGCTAACAGCACACATTAGGGGAAACCCTTTTGGGTCGGAATATGAACCATTCATTTGTATTGACTGATTTGAACAAGTGAATCAGAGCTCATTCAAACCTTCATTGTAGACATCTTTAAAATGTAGTTTCAAAACCGCAATTTGCAGTTCTACCTATGAACACAGGGGGGCAGCAGGGATAATATGTTGTAAGTAATTTTACAGAAATTCATTGGTTCACTGGATTGGTTCAACTGGTTGAGGATGTTTTGCATTGACTCATAATAGTCTGTACACATGACTATAGGAGAGAGTGGGCTAAATTGCCGCACTATATGTATGTATGTATGTATGTATGTATGTGTGTGTGTACTGGTTTATATATCCTGGTGGGGACTTAAACCTGAATACACACAGACTCATGGGGACTCGTGTCACAGTGGGGACCTACATTTTCCTGTAAGGGGTAGGTTTAGGGGTTGGGTTGGTGTAGGGCAATAGAATACACGGTCTGTACCGTAGAAAAACCATTACGCCTATGGAGAGTCCCCACAAGGATAGCTGACCAGACGTGTGTGTGTGTGTATGTGTGCATGTTTATGTGGTTTATGAGGACACAAATATGTATAATAACATGGGTATGACATAGGTATTACAACGAGAAGG